AATATTAAAATTAGAAATTTAATTTGCCAGGATTTTGTATATTGGGATTTTGTTGCCGGGATTTTGTGTGTCAGGATTTTGTGTATCGGAATTCTAATATACAACCGTTTCTCTATTATTATATATTTGAATTGTACTGTTATTGCTATCTTGCATGATCTCAGAATTAATACACCTTTCAGCAGCTGCCTCCCATTTCAAACCTGCTGCGTAGACTGCAATCCAATTTTCAATTCGCTTTATACTTGGCACCTCCTTGTGAGTAATTTCATTCTCTTCTACTAGTCTTTCCAGTTCTTTTACCATTTCTGTGGCTGTCATACGATCTGTTTTGTTTACATTACCAGCCAAAAAAAATCCTTCAAGATATTGTCTAACCTTTGGTGTCATTCGTTTTCCTACCCCATGTTTTCCTAGTTTCTGATGGCTTTTTAAAGCCCACTCTATTAGTAAAGAAAATGTTTCATCAACTGCATTACTAATCGAACATTCTATAGTTTCTAAAATATAATATTATATTAGTAAAGAATTCAATAATTTGTGATTAATCTCTAAAATTACTTTCAATATTTTGTATTGAATCTGAGCATAAAATGATTTAGAATGTAAAATAATTTAGTTTTGTTAAAAATTTTAATTTTACAAAATAATAGATATATTATTAGAATACCTGTTTCATATATAATTGGAATTATCCAAGATTTTGGTAAATGAGAATAGGCTAACACTTCAGATTCTGGTTTATGAATTGGTCATTTAACTAGTTTCATAATATCTGATAATATGTATATTTTCCATTCTCCAATATTAGGAAGTATCCAAGCTTTTATAAATCCTGCCAAATCATCTTCAATTGGCCATTGCCAATGAAAATAATTTGTAATTTCTTTCATAGTTTTGACTGGAACATGGTCTCTTTTTGGTTCAAGATGTGCAATGTTAGTTCCTGCTAAATTTTGTATAGCTTCTACAATTTTTTCACCAGAATCCAGATTATATCCAACTTGTACATATTGTGCAATAGCATGTGATATCTACTAATATAGCAGTTAATATTTGTTATTATTTTACAATAATCAACTAGTTAATTAGCTTACTACAGCATGATAAGAGTCTACTAATGATTTGGCCTCCCCGGGTTCAAAAAAATACCAACTACGAACTTCAATAGAATATCCCTAATACCAGTTAGCAACTACTGCGATCATTTCTGAGTTATGATAATGTTCTCCATTGTCTGAAAATATTTTTATCCATTTAGGTTTAGGATTAAGTGCTTCAAAAACTGAATCAAAAGAAGATGCAGTAAACCATGTATTCTGTTTTGTATCTAATGACCAATGGTCAAAAGCTCATATTTTAGCAGTATTACCATCTTCTTTGGTAAATACCAAATTAGAATGTAATGCATATCTTTTTTTTCCAAAAAATTAACTTTTTGTTTCTCGTATTCTTTTTTCTAATATTTTCATTTTGTAATCCACTATAATTAAAGCATCTTTTTCGTCTAGTTTTGTTAATTTAGCTTTAAATTAACTGTTCAAATAAGCTTTTCATGCTTGATGTGCAAGAAAATAAGTAAGTTTTTCCTTATAGTTTGCTATTGTTTGATGATATTTTTGTGATAATATTTGTACTAACTGTTCAAATATTAAAAAAAATTGTCACACTTTGTACATTGAGTATTATGCAACTCAGAATACTGATTGAATGCATATATAAGCAATGATTAATACATTGCATATGACTAGTAGTTCTATCAGAATGTATAATAAGTTCTAATTCAAATTTTTGACGCATATGATAGCATAACGATTCTAAATCACCAATTAGTTTATTCTAAAAAAAAAGTAAAAAATTAGAATTTGTATATAATTTAATATATAAATATTATATACATACCTAAAGTACTAATTCTTGAATATTTGCTTTAATTAGCTGATTTAAACTGTCAAAAACTTCATATCCATCTTCTTATTATTTTAAAT